AGCACTTTGGGAGGCCAAAGTGGAGGGATTGCTTGAGGCCAAGAGTTTGACCCAGCCTGGGCAATATAGCAAGACCTCCTCTCTACCAAAAAAAAAAAAATTTCAATTAGCTGGGCATGGTGGTACATGCCTATAGTTCCAGATACTCAGGAGGCTGAGGGAGGAGGATCACTTGAGCTCCAGGGTTCAAAACTGCAGTGAGCTGTGATCACACTACTGCACTCCAGCCTGGGCAAAAGAGAGAGACTATGTCTCTTAAAGAGAGAGAGAGGCCGGGCGTGGTGGCTCATGCCTGTTAATCTCAGCACTTTGGGAAGCCAAGGCGGGTGGATTACCTGAGGTCAGGAGTTCAAGACCAGTCTGACCAACATGGTGGAACCCTGTCTCAAAAAGAAAAAAGAGAGAGAAAAACGACCGGGTGTGGTGGCTCGTTCCCATAATCCCAGCACTTTGGGAGGCCGAGGCAGATCACTTGAAGTCAGGTGTTTGAGACCAGCCTGGCCAACAGGGTGAAACCCCATCACTACTAAAAATACAAAAATTAGCCGGACATGGTAGCGCACTCCTGTAATCACAGCTACTAGGGAGGCTGAGGCGGAAGTTGCAGTGAGCCAAGATTGCACCACTGCACTCCAGCCTGAGTGACAGAGCAAGACCCCATTTCAAAAAAATATATAAAAATAAAATTTTTTAAAAGATTTTTTAGGCCGGGCGCGGTGGCTCAAGCCTGTAATCCCAGCACTTTGGGAGGCCGAGGCGGGTGGATCACGAGGTCAAGAGATCGAGACCATCCTGGTCAACATGGTGAAACCCCGTCTCTACCAAAAATACAAAAAATTAGCTGGGCATGGTGGTGCGTGCCTGTAATCCCAGCTACTCAGGAGGCTGAGGCAGGAGAATTGCCTGAACCCAGGAGGCGGAGGTTGCGGTGAGCCGAGATCGCGCCATTGCACTCCAGCCTGGGTAACGAGCGAAACTCCGTCTCAAAAAAAAAAAAAAGATTTTTTAAAGTTACCTGATTGCTTTTTAGATGTTTGCATTTTCCAGTGGGGAATGTGTGTGATCATTCAGACTACACCTGTCGAGCATATGCAGTCGCAAGGAGCTAGAGACAGGCAGCTCCACAAGTCATCAGTTCAGGAGGAGAGCCGTGTGCAGGAGAGATTGTAGCAGTCTTCCTGGAGTGATGCCCACGAGGACAGGAAGAGGCCAGGGACTCCTAAGCGAAGGAAGAGTTGGGAGAAAGCTTACTATGTTTGGCAACAGTTTGATATTCACGACGTCTCTGCTAGGGAGGAGGTCCTTTCAAGACTGAATTTCACTCAGGGCTGTGGGATGTCCCAGGGGGTTGGGATTGTGGAGCCATTTTTGAAAATGATTCCTTTGGTGACATTTTTGGGGGCTAGATGGGCGAGAGCAAGTCCTCAGACAGAAGCTGCTGCAAGGCTAAGGGCAGCGGTGAGGGTATAAACTGAGGCAGCAGGAGTGGGGGGGGGCACCGAGAGGCAGGTGTAGGTTCTAGTGTGGGCATCCTGTGATAGGAGAAGGCCCAGGACAGACCTCCCAGAGAGGGGTGGGTTGAGGCTAAGGAGTGTGTAGTAGAAATCGGGCTACATGGCCATAGGGCAGGACTGGAACGTTGCCATCAGATTTAGAAACTAGGAGCTCATTGAAGGCTGTGGTGAGAACATTCCTCTTTGAAGGTGAGGGTCAGGCCTGGATTTCAGTGGAAGAAAGGCAAGGGAGCGAGAATGAATATAGGCTCCTCTGGAGAGAAGTTTGGCTATGAGAGGGAAAAGTGAGGAACCGCATCAGTCAGAAGACACACACGTAGGCAAGGGTATAAAGGGGCAGTCGATCATGTGAACAGAGACACCCACCTGTAGTCAGGGAAATGCAAATTAAAACAGCCATGAGTTGTCACCTTGTATCCGTTCAGATAAGCAGAAATTTTTTTTTTTTTTTTTTTTTTTTTGAGACGGAGTTTCACCCATGTTACCCAGGCTGGAGTGCAATGGCGCGATCTTGGCTCACCGCAACCTCCGCCTCCTGGGTTCAGGCAATTCTCCTGCCTCAGCCTCCTGAGT